CAAAATCGCTTAGGCGGTTACAGCGCCAAAAAAGAAGAAAAAGAAGACATATATACACATATGCATACATATATATCAAAATATTCAGAATGACGAGATGAATTGGTCCAGGCCTCTCGGTTTGTAAACACGCTAACTTGAACAAAATTTTCGATATTTTAACGAAAGTCGGTTAGTGTTAAATTTTGGCGAAATCTGCCAATAACCACGAAAACCTCCCACGTAGTAATTAAAATATTTTTGTTTTATTATTTTTTTACGAATTTTGCTATTCAAATTTACATTTCAAATATATCAACAAACATTTGTGGGTACTCTCACATCAGTCGTTGCCTATGGGTTAATGACAAAAAAATCCTATACATTCACAATATTTCATGTATTAATTTTCAAATACGCATATTGTCAATGGCTGGTTTACTGTATACTGTGATCGTGTCCAAATTTTGTAAAAAAAATTAATTTGATTGGCAGCTAAAAAGAATCGCGACTTCTGCGTACGAAAAATTTTACAAACGCACTGATAAACCACTAACTAACAAGCGCTCACGTGCCGGCGGACAATACAGACAGGCGGAACGGTTTTTTTGTTGAACGACTGCCTTTGAATTTTCGCGCAACTAATGGCTAATCAAAATGGGCACCTAGTTATGCTTGCATTGCAAAATCTAGAAGGTCAAACGGTCACCAAAATTGCAACGCATATCGCTGACGCAGCTTGCGTAAGTAACGATTTTTTTTTTTAGGAGTTTACCAATGGAAAGCTGGTGCACACAGCATTAAATTTCAATTTCTTTCCATACCCTCCGCAGGTGCCTCCCCATAATGAGGTCAAGGAAACGGTGATCGTTTCAGAAGAAGCTAGCGAACTAGAACCGAAAGCTAATAAGGATAATGGTGGCAATGGAGTCGGAAGATCGTGGTATGCGGCTACGAAAGAGACGAGTTGCTCGTAGCCAGAGTCGCAGTCGACGCACTTCGAGACGTCGTGGACGCCGCTAAATTGGAGTGGAATCCCACCATGCATAACATGAGAAATAGGCAACAATCATCAATGGCAACAAATTGGCGACTCACCGATTTATTGATGTGGTGACAAATCGGCAACATCACTTCGTTCATGTCAATTTTCAATAAATAAGTTCTCAAAAATTCCGAAACTTATGAATATGGCGTCAATAGTATTGTCCGAAAGCATCTAAATTATGCCCAAGGACAGGATTGAAAAAATAGGAAGCCCCATAGCGAGAAAAGGAATTAATTCCGATTGTAAGTTCCAATTTTGTATACAAAAAATAAATGAAGTATTAAAAAGAATAAAATTATTCCGAATATCGCCTGAAGCGATAAGAAAACGACTCATTCAGGTAATAGGAAAATGACTCGCCCAGGCGGGTTGCCTTCGGCGGACATTTTAGAGCGACTGGTAATAGGAAATCGATTCGATGGCAATATTACCGGCAATAAATTTGTTTCCGAGGGCGAAACGTTTTCTTATTGCCGGCAACAAAAATTGTTTGGTGGGAATTAGTAATGAATAATTTGAATTTTTATATTTTGATGTGTCTTTCTTTATGCGTGCTTGCATTTACATACACATTATGTATATGTATTAAATGTACCCTTATTGTACTTGTGCATTTATTTACGCATATTTTGTAGAAAATTGTGAAAATTTCATAAAATTCACTATAATTTTGATAAAACCTAAATAATATATATGTATAATATATTATATATTATGTAGGTGAAGAGATGAAACCCGCATGGGAGCAAGTAGTCAAATGATTATAGGTCAATTTATTGGCCGAGCAGGGTAGGAGTATGAGAAAATAGCGCAGGTCTAATAAATAAGCAGCACACCTGCTGATGGTGGGCACTGTAGTAATTGCAGATAATGGTGAGACAGATCCTCATCAAGCTTCCTCGTTTGAGGTGCGTTGGCATACGGAGGCAAAGCCCAAATGCCTCCACTGCATATTACATTTGAACAGCAGGCTGCAATGCGAACTCTCCCAAATTTCACGAGAGGGGGCTTTGGCAAAGGTAAGGTCGTCTTATCACAGAGACAAGCTAGGCTTCCAGCTGTCATTGGTTCTGCTCCCCACAGATGATATGTATACATAGCAGTTTACGAAAGAAACTTGAAGGTGGCTAGGCTTACGTATATGTATGGCCTAAGACTGCCGTTTTCGGCGGCCGTGGGAACCTTTATAAGCATTTTCCATGCGGAAGTCTATGCCAGCAGTCTGTATGCAGATTTAACTAATTTTAAGTGATAGTCAAGAGGCACTCAAAACTCTCTACTCCTTCGAGGTTAATAAAACCTTCGTGGTCCTAGAGTGTATAGAGAAGCTTAATGTCATGGCTGAAATTAATGATATCCTAATGTTATGGATACCAGTGCACATGGAAGTTGATGGCAATGAGGAAGGCGAACAGATAGCCAGCATGGCTGCAGCCTCGACCTCGACAGAACCTGAGCCCGTCCTTCCTTTCGATAAGTCTTCCGCACGATAAAAGAGGCGCTCAGAAAGGAAATAGCACCACCGGTCCGCGTCAAGGAGAAACTAAGAATTTTTGCAGGCATTTTGACGGGCCATTGTAGGCTAAGACGCCATTTGCATAAGCTAGCGACCTAAGTCGCTTCTGTGACCCCGCCAAGCAGACATCATTACACTTTCTTCTCGAGTGTGAGACCGTTTTACGTAGAAGAGAGAGGAGTATAGGACATCTATGGCGAAGCATACCCCGGGATCCATTCTGAAATTTATAGAGTCTAACCCTAGGGGTTTTGTGATGAGCTGAGGGCGCAATAGACTTACAGGTCACAGTGCTTACTCTATCTTACCTTCATCACTTTCAGACGCTTATCAGAGAACCCGCACCAATTTTCCAGTTGATACGGTTCTACCAGTAAATTAGCATGTCCATTGATGATGCTGTCGATCTGTGAATCATGTCAGGCGTGAGTGCGCTTTGGTCAACCGTAATGTCTCTGGCTAACCCGAGGAAGGGTGATGACAGAGAGGAAATACCATTCGTCGAGCCCGATCATCGAGCTACTTCAGCCGCTAATTTATATTGGAACCCGAATAGTAAAACTCCACAATACTACACAATTCGGCTATTGCTGAAAGCATGAAAAGCGCGGAACGCCTGAAAAGCTTGTCGTGGAGTTCTGCGCGAAGGCTGCACAAACAGCTGACTTCGGCCTTTTACTTTCACCATCGTCGAAGTACGGGTGGACATCGGAAGGACAAATCTTTCAAAAACGTAAAATAAAAATTGTGTGCGGCGGCAGACTACCTCACCAAGATCCTCAATTTGTCGATAACAACTCTCATCATTCCAGAATTGTGGGTATTAGGGAGCCAGGGAAACCTGTTAACAAAGAGGACTCTTATACCCCCGATAACTACGGTGACCATAAATATGGATTCAAAATGAAGGACAATTTTTCAAA